TGCATATTATTGGATGTTACGTAGACTGAATATGAAAGTTAAAAAGAAATTAGCATACTCATCATGCCCTCAATCACGTGTTCTATCAAAGAGGAAGGTCGCTTTTTATGGGATGATCAAATATCGGCAAATAAGCAGACAGATAAGCTGATGGTGAACAATTTGGCGCCGCTCAATGACATTCGCAACATCGAGGAGAGTTACACGTGAGGATTTCGGGTTCTTAATTCGCCTCAAACACACCACGAGCAGGCTTATTCATGCCGAAGCAGGACATCTCACGTGTTCACAAAGAAGAAGGTACGTGTTCAGTAGCCCGTCACTCACAGAAGAGGTAAACAGTATCAATTGTCATCTTGCTAAATAAAAAAAAAATCATAAACCTACATCACTGTGTACCTACACAACAGTCGCATTAACAACTGTAGTTAAAATAAGTCTAGAGTGAATACTGGTAACAAAAAACAACATTAATGGCATACAATTAAGGTTTTTTTGCACTTACGCAAGAAAAGATCAAATCCCGAGCATCCCAGAGTTTTCAGACTTCACAAGTATAAAATCTTTGAGCCAAGTTTAAACCAAGCTCAAAGTTTACGCGAGAAATGCAACGTTCAAATTATGAAAATGCAAAAGTACTAAAACCTTAAACTGTGATCTTCATGAACAGTATTAAAACTTCGTGGATAGTTTTCGAACATTTAAAACATCTGTAAGCTGTTGAAGTAATTGCTTATACTGCAGCTACTGTTCGAAATTTGAATTCACTAAGTTTTTTTAACACAAGTTTGGTTTTAACATTCGCGTTAACAGAAAAATGAGGATTTTAATTAAATCTTTTCACAGCATGCCTTGTAATATTTGTTAATTTGTTTTTTTTGTGGGGTTGGTATAATATGGTAAAGTTTTCTATACGAATATGTAGATAAAAGTTAGGTATATAATGTAGGAAAGGTGTCTGTGACTTTGTAAAACAAAAATAAATTTCTCGGTCAGTTGTGCGATTTCACGAAAATATATACGCAGATACACATCGCAAGTAACATTAGGAAAGGTTCATCTATAATACATTTATTAATAAAAATATTTTTGGACGCGTTTTATATATTTTATAAACATTTTTTTTCAATAACTCTTGTTATCAAAAGGAAGTAATTCAACTAAAATCTGAATGTCGTGTCGTGTTAACAACGCTGACTAGTGCGAGGACAAACTGTCATTTCCATTAAGTATTAACATTCACCAAATTGTAAAGAAAAAACATCAGGAAAATAATTCCGTTACATGAGCTATCTTCCGGGCTATCTAAATATATAACAAGACTAGGTGACTCACACTTGTGTTCTAATATTTACGTAATGCTAACATTTGATGCAAAAACTAATCAAGTTTAAGGCTACTAATGTATACTATCATCTATTTTTATCATCCTGTGTATAGAGTGTTGTCTCGTAAAACATGTGAATGATGGTAATAGAACAATGAAAATGCATGCTCAGAGAGTCCTAGAATTCAAATATTTGGATTCGAAAATGTAGTCTTACAAATACACAACGTTCTAAAAATCTATTAATTTATGATTAAAGTGCAATCAACTTGTGTTTTGACAGATGAGTATGAAGTGTACTAAAATAAACAAGTTTTTATTTTGGTACCACAAAAACCCGTTGGCAACAGTCGGCTGACCGAAATTTTGGAGGAACGCTGATAACATTTTATACAATAATTAATTTCACATCAGCGTCCATTTTCACGGCCCAATCCATTGATCAATTAGATTCGCAACGCTTTGTTTACGTCATATCCAATGAAAAAATTGAAGGAATTATCTAAAACTAAACACGCTGAGAGAGTTTAGAAAAACAAATGGGCTACGAAATATTATTTATGCCTATACTTTGTGAATTCTGCTGTGTATTTTAAGAAAATGTTGTAAATTTTTATGTCTAAAGTTTTATTTATTTGCAACATAATGTCATGTCTTTTGTCACTAATAGGAAGAAGGAAGAAGCAGGTAGATATGTTATAATTAAATTCCCCAGTCATGTTATTATTATGATTATTGTAATTTAGGAAAATGCTCGGCTTGCTTCCTCTATGCAAAGTGACGATATGGCCAGAGTCGCGGGGAATTAATCAGTTGTTGTTTGACGTGAAATTATTTTTTAGTAAAGTATCTTCCGGCTGATGATATGTTTTTTTATTTGGTAGTACGGCAAACGAGCTGACAGATTACCTTTTGACACCCGCCAAAACCAACGGAAAAGTTACCTTTTGGGTATTAGGGTTTTGGGGGTTTAGGAATTGGGGAAGGGGAAGTATTGGTAATCCAAAACGCATAGCTTGAAGGAGGCAAAGAAGGAGGTGGAAAGCGTGAGAGTACTATTTTCCTCACGCCCCAGCTCCTATACGAGACACTCTCATCTTCAGGGCTCGCACGATGATTTGCGGCCGTCGACTAAAAACTGAATAATTGAACATTGACCGGACAGCATCGTTCTCTTATAAGCCTTAGTTCTTCTATGTGATTTTACTAACCATAATGATTACGGTACCCACCGAGTAGACGAGACCCATTGTCCAGCCAATAGTAATTTATTTGGCACTGGATATGCTGCACAAAGCACCAAAGACATGTACAAAAATAATTAATACAAAAAAATGCGAAAATGTTAGGTAACATAACACACAACAATAATAAAAAATACTTCAACAATTAAAAAACAAATCACTGTTTTGATGTTAATTAAGACGGAATCCTACAATATTTCAATTATCCCCGTTTGTAGCGGTTTAGGTAGAAAATTTCTGTCGAAATACAAGGATTTCATTTTTTACTTCAAGATAAAATACCCGGTATTCCCTTGTTAAACTTTACGAAACGTTGAATTGCGTTTTATGAAAGGGTCATTCAGAATAATTAAATTTTTAAATCAAAGGGCAATTGTTTGTTTTTTGCCATCTGTCTCGCAATTTTCTTCTTTATAGAAACCATTTTGCTTTTCTTACTAAATTAATTGTTTAATTTGTTTTGGGATAACCAGGAAGGGGCGGGCTCCATCAGACCATACCAACAATTTGACAGTGAGAGTTTTTTTTAAGATTTAAGAAAAAAGAAGAAGCGTGTTATTTTTTGACAAAATTCAGAGTCTTCATATTGAAGCTCAATAAATTTGAACGAATGATCAAACATCATTCGTTCAAATTTATTTTCAAATCAGGAAAACATTTTTATACTTTAAGCTACAATAAAACCCTCGATAAATCGTGAATTCTTTTAATCGCCGTACTTTCTTTAAGTCGCTATAAATCCGCAAAAATGTACCTCACTTTAGCGGATTTTCTCTTCAAAAGTGTAGTTTAGAGTTTCTAGTTAAATACCACTGGAAATTAATGTAAATTCCAAGAATTCTAGCATTATAGACGCCCTTATTATCTTTAACAACAATTACTTAACGTTTAATAGGTACCTTAGGTTGAAAATATTAAAATTTTCGGTAAAAATCCTCATTATATCCTAAGTATTTACTAAGTAAACTGAGAAAACAGCTTACTTTGAAAAATTTAGATAACAAAGCAGAATATAGGGATAAGGGTAGGTAAGTCCATGGCCCAATATGGACTATAACTTTCATTGTCAGTGTAATTGTAAGTTAACAGGATAAACTCAAGCCTTTTTATTTAAGTCCATGCAGAAAATATGTAATTGTAACAGTATTTTTATTAAATAAATTAAATGCGGAAATTATAACAGCGCAAAATATGTTACCTCTAAGTATGCAGTATTATTTTATTTAGGTAGAGTAATAACTATCAAAGATATTATTATTAGCATTTCTGTTTTTTTCATCATTTTTTTCTTATATCACAATTTTACAAAAAAAAATCGGATCTCGCAAAATAATCTTATCTACCCCTGCTATGTAGTTGAAATATTTAAAAAATCGACAGTTGAATCTCATTAATAAAACTAAAAGTCAAACATTATTATTATAATGTTCCTACAGATTAATATAAAAAAGTAGGCGTCAACGTTATCAGAAAAAAAACAATTAATGTGGATCATCTTATATAGCACACACATCTTCATTCAACGAGAATATTGTGTTCCACTTAGACACAGATAAAAAGTACAACTAGTTGACCGTCAAAATTATCAAACCTTTTTTGCACACACCACAGACAAAAAAATTAATTTCACTTTATTATTTATCTGTGAGTCGTTGTCGTAACATAAATACCGCGAAATCATTTAATTGTTTTGACATTTACAATACGAACGAAATATTAACATACAATATTGGCGACAATATTATTTGTAAAAATAATCTCTTCCGATTTCGTTAAATGAACATAAGTTGGTATTTCAATTTTGAATTTTATTGATACTAAACATTTATGTACACAGATGCGTGACATTTGCAAATCCTTAACCGATAATTAATTACAGTAATTTTTATACAAGAACTCTTTGAAGAAATGTTATTTCTAGTTTTGACATTTTTTTATCAAATTGTCACAAAAAAAGGATTAACTTATAATTGAATATTATTTACTTAAAAATTTCATGAAACATACCTAAAGATCTAAGTCAACTTTTTATTACTAACCTAAAAATATTATTCCAACAACGGCAAAATTTTAAATCTTATCAAATACGTTTGATAGTTTGTCTGTAATTATTCAAAATAATTAAGATTGTTGCTTTAACTAAGTGATGGAATTTTCAAGAACTGAACTAGACACTTTTGAACTGATTCTTGTTAGATTTATGTATTCAGAGCGTCAAATTAAGGTCCAAACTTGATACTAATTTAATTAGAAGTGAACTGAGAAATACATTTATAATTACGTACTCTTCGAAAGTAAATCAGTAATAACTTGTTATGGACAATTCCCGTATATAACTTAACAATCAAATATGCATTAGATTATAACAAACATAAATTTAGAATTACAGAAATTGGTCTCAACGAGCAAAAATATAAATTCAGTCTTACCTCAAATGTCCAGCCGTTTATAGGATACGCACAACATAGATGCTTAATGATAACAACTACACCACTCGAGATAGCGGAGATCGAGGCACAACGAACGCGACTAGAGGAGCGGTTGTAATGCGCGCGCGCCGCTGTCTGCCGCCGACCAACTAAACTATACCCCATTTAACATCACTGATCTAACATTGTTGTTCCTAAGAGTTCAATGTTACGCTTTTCGTTCATTCAATTACGTCCACCTCATATCGATAATCTGATTAAGTACTGTCCTGGTCTAGATCACTAATTGTTATTATGTCGAATGGTATTGGTATTTGATTACAGGCCAATTGTACACAGCTATTACAAATCAGGTTATTGTCATTTCTCTGTGTAATATCACTTATTGGCAAGTCCTAATGTCCAATTTCTTGTTTTGCTCCGCCGGATTCATGCGAAGCGAATCGTACTTGGTCTATTCGACTTTTCAAAATTATTTGTTAATATTATCTTGACGGTCTTTTTTGAGGTCAAACAAATAATTCAGTTAAAAAAACAATTATCCGATTATGCATAGTAATTTGAAACATACATATTATAATATTGAAATCATATATTTTAATTAATTTTTTAATCTGTAACTAAATATTATTCGCACGAAATTAATCTATTAATTTATCAAATCTGTTGTAAGATTTTCAAGACATTCCCTTCTAGGTACATATTTGTTAAACCCAAGATAAGCCGAAAAAAGTAGGTTTGTTTGAACGTACTATTAGATACATAGACACCTAGATACATGAGATAAAGTACTAACGTCAAAAATTTATCTTTCTCTTCTAACTTTTCGTTAACTTGTCTAAAGTGTCTAAAAATAGCCTATTCCTGAATAGCTTTCAATAAATTTCAACAGTCCTACCAATCTAGATAATGTTTCGCTAACTCTACTCTGTATATATAAACAATTCAGATGTAAAAATAATCAAGACTTATATTTAAAAACCGGTTCTAGTTTCGCAAAAAAATGTTAAAAATAAATTGTGTTACGAGCGCCGGGATAACGTTTTTTAACCAATTTCATAATTGAATTGGTCCTTAATTAGGTAGTGTATACACGTGTAAGTATCTATGTTCGTTGCAGATATGGCTGTATCAAAGTTTTCTATAATTTGTACAGAATTCAAATTTTACAATGACTTTTATAGGTAGGTTAAACACCAAGAAAAAATTCTTTATAGTGGTAATATTTTATTGTATTCACTTACAATGGCAAAATTTCTTACGTATTTAAATAACTTTGTAACTTTCGATTCGTTTTTTTTTATGGTATAAGTCGGCAAACGAGTAGACGGATGGGCCTGATGGTAAGCAATCGGCGCCGCCCATGGACACCCGCAACACCAAAGGAGTTACGAGTGCGTTGCTGGCCTTTTGGGGATAGGGGTTGCGGATATAAGGATCGGGAAGGGATAGGGAAAGGGAAGGGATTGGGCCTCCGGTAACCTCACTCACACGGCGAAACACAACACTATGGGTTGTTTCACGCAGGCATTCTGTGAGGCCGTGGTATCAATCCGGTCGGGCCGACCCATTCGTGCCGAGGCTTGGCTCTCCCACACTGCAGTTTAATACTTTAATTAAAATATAGTGTGATTAAGTGCGCGCCGATTGAGTTAACATAGAAAGTAGGTCGATATCTACTCTTACTATGACGGGCATCTAAAGAAAATCCTATGGCGTAATTTATAAAACGTTTGTAAACTATTGAGTGTCTGTCATGAACTAGATTTCGAAAACGATTCTAGGATATGTAGGTACTAATTATTGCTTTTGTACCTACTTAATGGGAAGAAACCTTTAAAAATACGTTTAACTTTTGAGAAAAATTACTTGGAAATTCACTAAGAGAACTTGTAACAAGAAACCAAGAATAAATTCTCAGAAAACCTAACTCTCCGATAGTGTTAATACTATTTAATTAATTAAAAGTACCTATGATATCACAACAAAACGAGTGCCTTGGTAGATTATTTCACATCGGGAAGTGATAACGGCGGCCGGTGACCGCGTAATCAAATATTGAAACAGCTTCTACCAGATGTAGGCGACGCGGCCACGATTATGTAGGTACTGTTTTACTTTTAATTTTGAAACACGTATTGTTGACTTTTATCAATATTCCTTTTTTAAAATTTAAATTTAAAAAAGTGTCGAATTTTTTTTTATGCATACTATTTTACGCATGGGCAATTTAATAATATTTAAGTGTGAGAGATCCATGCTTCGGTACGAATGAGCCCACTCGGGGAGACGGAGTCATCAAACAACATTTACGTGTAAGTATGGTTACCAGAGGCCCAATCGTCATCGTCATCCCCCTATCATCTATCTCCTAATATCCTAAATCCGTCATAACCCACAAGAACCGACAACTCACTTGTAATAACTACTTTCTTTTGGCATTACGAGTGTCCACGGGCAGCGCCGATTGCTTACCATCAGGTAATTAAAAATAATCCGCCTGTTCGTATACCGACTAACAGCTTACAAAAAATTGAAAGATACTTTTTTTTATTTCGATAAAGTTATATGAGACACAACCAAAAGGTGGTGAACTCACTTCTAAATTTTCGGGAATTGCACTTACTAAATCAAATAATACAAAAAAAAGTACTTAGCGTACACTATTTTATTCAACAATTACTATTTCATGATCAGTTTACAGTAGTATTTTATGAAAGACAGTACTGTATGTATATTACATTACACTCGGTGCGTATCTATCTTAATTATTGTATAATTGATGTACAAAGCGGTAGCATTGAATATTATCATGATTGAGTGGTCATTGACTGAGTACCGAATGAATAGCTCATCTTAATACAATTATTGCGTTCCACCGTACTTATGGTTTGCTTATTAATTTAAAGGATATGATAGAATAATGTGATAGGGTAAAAAAACGTATATATGTACGTACGAAGATAATATATACAGGGAGTATGGCCCTTGCAACGCTTAGCATTATACGGGCCGACCAGATCCAGCACTCTTACACACACCAGATACAAAAGAAAATGTGATTTGTTTTTTTAAAAAAAAAAACGTTGCCCCACTTTAGGATTTTCTCCTGTGTTGTGGGTGCGTTTACAAACACAATGTCACATACACATGACACCCAGACCCGAAACAACAATTTGTGGATCACACAAAGTGTTGTTCCGTGCGGGAATCGAACCCGCGACACGTTGCACGGCAGCCAGTTGCCCAGCCACCACACTAACCGTGCAGTCAATTTGATTGAAATGTGTGTGATTCAATCACTAGATTTGGAATTTATTGGGGAATTCTATGTTCATTGTTCGGAAGTTTTCTGGCTGATATGCCGAGAGTAAATAGTTTTTTTTTTTTATATCCTACCGTCGCCAAACGAACAGACCGATTACTTGGTGTTAAGCGATAAGCACCGCCTATGGGCACTCGCAACAACAGAAGAGTTACGAGTGCGTTGCCTACCTTGTGGGTATTTGGAGATTTAGACATTGGGAAAGGATTATGGAATAGAAAGTATTGGGTCTCCGGTAACCTCACTCACACGGCGAAACACAACGCTTTGATTGTTTCACACCGGTTTTCTGTGAGGCCGTGGTATCACTCCGGTCGAGCCGACCCATTCGTGCTTAGGCATAGCTCTCCGACACGTATTTGTAAAAAGTCATAAAATCAAACCCATCCATGTATGTATTAGCGTTTACTACACATTAGCATTCTCCAATAGATTAGAATATCAAAACGTTTACTAACCATATTTGCATTGATCGCGATTGACTAGCTTATCTCAAGCGGGTACTATTAGCCTAATCAAAGTTGCTTAGATTTGACTTAATGGCGGACTTAATCTGTGGTTAACTCTGTCACGGACACTTGAATTGATCGCGGCGCCTTTTGCAGAGTCCGCAAGAGACACAAGTATAATATAACTATTTCAAATAATGTCGTTATATTTCATAATGTGGAAGCTTCATATAACAAATAAAATACCTTAAAAGAGGTAGTTCTGGATATTCCAGAAAATGGTATGTATATACACGGAATTCTATTCGCGAGATACGTAGGTAAATTTTCTAAAAGCGCACATTTTCTTTGATGAATTCCGAAACATTCTCTGAAGCAGAATGTTCTGTTTCGTTGAACCAGTAATATTAACTTGTAACTGTACACCGTAGCAATCAATAATATTTTAAAGTAAAATTGCTTAAAATCACCAATTTTCTCTATAGGTATCTATAAGTTTTGAGTTCACTATCACAGTTTATGCAAAATTATTAAGGTCGATATCATAACTTGGCTCCAATTTTGGATATCTAATCTTTATTAACTACAATTAAAGTAATATTTTAAACGATAAAATAATTCATCATCAATCGTTTCCCATGGCAATTCTCTGCTAGACTATGGGTTTTCTTTACATGACAAGGTTTTTAATAATATAGATAGTTTTAAGGGCATTTTTTTTATTTATTTATTTTATATCCGTTTTATACATTATTGAGTTAAAATTTCAGACACTTTTTTCTCTTTTCTGTTGGAAACAAATTCTTCTTAGTTCACGATTTAGTACATTCTAAACATAGCTGCATCATACCCACCTCTCATTCGAAAACTTAAATACGTTACTGACTACATTTATCTAAGCACTATTTTATTATACAACAAAATGAAAAATCGTGTCTAATATTTTTTTAATTTTTGACAGACAAATAGTTTATTATTTTTTATCCTCTGTCATCTTCGCTACTTTCTAGCTTTCTTTCTTCTTCTTTCTTATAAGAAAGTGTTGTGGTCCAGGCCCCTTCTAATGTCTATGCAGTCTCTTAATCGTTTATGACGGTGCCCGCGGTAAAGGTACAGATGGTGAAAAATATATTGTCCACATAGAAACAGTAATTGATTTTCTTACGCTTTTCAAAATATAACAAAAAGATATAAATTAAATTCGTCACTTAAATAAAATTGTCAATAACTTAAAGCGCTTCGCTAGCACCAATCACCGCGTAGCTTTTATAGTGTAAATTCTAAACGATGCCAGTGTTTAGGTGCCCCGGGGATCAGTAAATTGTTAGGATCCAGTCAACTTAATCAACGTGTTACGAACTTAACAAGAAAACCTTTTTGGTAA